TGTAATGCTGTGAGGGCTTGATGAGACACAAGTTCATTTCTGTTAGAGTAATTAAATGTAATTTTTAAGGAAAGAAATTTGCAGATTTGTAGCAAAATGCTTTGAAAAGTTTTCCTATATCTGCTCGGCGCCTGTAGCACAGTGGTTACAGCGCCAGCCACATACACTGAAGATGGCAGGTTCGAACCCAACCTGGGCTAGCTAACCAACAATGTCAACTGCAACAAAAAATAGCCAGGCATTGTGCGGGTTCTTGTAGTCCCAGCTACTTGGGAGGCTGAGGCAAGAGAATCACGTAAGCCCAAGAGTTCGAGGTTGCTATGAGCTATGACACCATAGCACCGAGGGCAATGTCTCAAATATTTTCCTACTTCCATCTTAAAATTCACAGTAAGGAAATAAACAAAGGTGATGTATGCCAAAATGTTAGTTACAATGTTCCTAGTTTTTTTTAGTTTTTCACAATTGCAACTATATCTAACTGTCCAGGTGTAGGAGTGAATGGTTAGAAACTATATATGATGGGATATTGCACAGCCTTAAAAAATAATGTTTTGATTTAATTTTAAGGACAGAGTAAATGTTTATGATATGTAGTTGGCCCTCTATATCCACAGGTTCCATATCCATAGATTGAACCAACTAAGGATCAAAAATATTAGGGAAAAAAATAATACAATTTTTTTTTTTTTTAGAGACAGAGTCTCACTATGTCACCCTTGGTAGAGTGCTATGGCATCACAGCTCACAGCAACCTCCAGCTCTTGGGCTTAGGCGATTCTCTTGCCTCAGTCTCCCAAGTAGCTGAATACAAATTTTTTTTAAATACAGTATAACAACTAATTATGTTGCACTTACATTGTGTTATTACAAGTAAATTTATAAGTATTTGAAAGGATATATGTAGGTCATGTGCAAATACTGTGCCATTTTACATAAGGGACTTGAGCATTCATACGTTTGATATCCATGAGTAGTCCGGGAATCAGTCCCCCCACAGATGCCTAGAGACAGCTAAAATGTTAAAGTGAATTCCAGTTTTATACATTTGAGTAATATTCTATCATATGCCGTTCTGGTCTGTTTTTATAATTATTACTGGGGCACAAAGTCTTGCTGTTCTTTTCAGAAATTAATTGCCTACTGCTACAGAAAATAAAACCAATTTTAACCTTCAAGAGCTAAAAATTTCTCCCTTAAAATCTAAAAGTACCCATTAACAATTATGAATCAGTGATGTTTGAATAAGACACTTAGTATAAAAACATGGAGATGAGTTTTAATATTTTACCAAAATGATTGAATTGGACATGTTTTCTTTTTGATTCATGAAACTGACATTTTTAAAATGTAGTTTAGAAAATAGGTTCATCAAACTTCACTGCTCTTCAAATAGTAATTAACATTTATTGAATGTTCATTATGGCCAATAATGGTTCTAAAGCAAATTCTAAACTTGCAGATTAACTCATTTAATCCTCAGAACAATCCTTTGATAAAAGTATTATTATTATTTCCACTTAAGTGAATCAACTGACGCTTAGAAAGTTAGGTAACTTGCCTAAATAAGTGGTAGGCCTAGGATTTTAATTCAGGCAGTCTGGGTCCCGGTCTTCTTTTTCATTGCTATTCGGTTTGTTCCAGAGATAGAATTCCAAAGGACAAGGTCAAAGTCAGCTAAATAGGTAAGGACAGTTTTAAACAAGAGTCAGCAATTAGAACTAGAGCCTAAGTAAGAGAAATCATTACAGGCAAGTGATTGTAAACCTTCATTTTATCAGTCTTAAGTAGGTTTGATAAGAGGGGCTCTGGAGCTGGAAATGAGGAAATGATGGTACTGTCTCACAGAGATGTTTTGGGGATCAAGAGTAGATGCATGCATGTGGAACAATGTCTTACATGTAGTACTCAGTAACTATTAGATGTTAATATTGAAGATCTATTTAAGAGCATTCTTCCTGGAAAAGGTATATATATTTGTATATACACGCAAATGCACAAGTTTAGGCCCTTTGTTGACCCTTTAAAGCTCATGTTTGGATCCTCTTTAACTAGGATCAGAGTGAAGAATCTCTGTTATAAATAAAGAAATCTTTTTTTGCCCTTGAATATGTTTGAGTCAGAATTTGTTGTCCAGAGAAAGAGGTGCCAGTTCTCATTTTTACCTGCTATTGAGGTGAAACAAATATAGTCTTCATTTATTAATGCCGTTTTTGAAGACTGAATAATTTCATACTGACTCTTGAATCTTGACTGGTGATGCTTACATTAATTGGGGGATTGACTCCCAAATAAACACTTTTAGTTATGGAAATCCAGTGTGACTGTTCAGAATTTTGCAACCAATCCCATCGTTTTCTTCATCTTCCTAAATCTTGACATGATTGTGTGAGACTTTTAGGCCTCTGTTGGTGCCACCACCCATTGCAATTCTATTGATAACCCAATAGCAGTGGCACTTGGAGCCCTGGCATGCTATCGGATGAAAAGAGAACATAAGCTAAGGCAGTCATGTTTTAGACTAGATTGTCTGCCCGTATTCACCTCCAAGGCTACATTTAGAGGGGCTATTGAGCAACTACGCGAAGATAGTGACCAGGTGGCAGAGGATATGGCTACTATGTGGTATGAAGAGCCGCCATCAGAGCTAGGACGAAGGAAAGACTAAGGTAGCAGCAAGAGAACCGTTATTAGCTGCTGTCTTTGCAGGGTATAGAGGCCATATGGCATAGTAATTCAGAGGTGAGTTTCGAGCTGCATTCCAGTCCCAACTCTCACTTTTTCTGGCTGGTATGACTCGAGGGTTAGGGTTAGCATGGTATAGTGAAAAAGAAGAGTACATTGCTTATGGGCAGCAGACAGGTTTATGTCCTTGTGCAGCTGCTGGCCTGCTTTGCAACTTCTGGCAATTCATTTAACCTAAGAACACTTAGTTTTCTAATCTGTAAATCTGAAATTTAATCTTGCTTTGTCTTCCTCACATGGATGTTATACTAGTTAATTGACTTAGTTTCTACATGAAAGAACTTGGTAAGCTATAAAACATCATCCTAATGTTAATTATTTATTACATGAAAATAACGTTCTGAATAAACACAAAATTATTTTATGTTTAAGAAAGACATCACGAATTGACCTTAAAACATCCAAAGATTTGGGGGACAGCGAATGTGAAGATGGATGAGTTTTCTTTCTATGGCTGTTTTAAAATTGTAAGAAAGACAATCAGCTTGGGGTCCTTTTACCCTAGCAAGAATTCAATATAAGAAAGTCTTTTCAGAGAAAGGTTGGCTCGGCACCTGTGGCTCAAGTGGCCAAGGTGCCAGCCACATACACCTGAGTTGGTGGGTT